GGAGGGTCAGATGCCAGGGGCAGGTGTGTGTGGTCCTGCAGGTGGAGTAAAGGCGTAGGGTGGAGCAAGGCACTTCCCAGAGTTCTGCTGCAGGAGGTCTACAGCGGCTTGGCTCAGGGCTCCCTTCAGCAGCCTTTGCCCTAGCAGCCTCCCTTCTTGGGGCAGCTTCTACCTCTCTCTACCAAATGACGTCCAGCAGGAGAAAATACTGAGATGAGCTCCCGTGGTTCAGAGCAAGGCCAGGGCCTCCCTGCACCCCTTGTAGCAGAGCCCTGGCCTCTGCATCGGCACTCTGGGTCCTGTGATAGGCCTTGCCTAGCAAGCATAAGAATTGTATCTGGACCTGGGCATCTTCCTGACCGGTCCACCACCCGCTTGCTGAGGGATGCCCTGGACCCAGCAGTAATCCGAAGGCCTCTTGGTGGGATGTGCCTAAGGCCTAGAAACAGCCATAACACAGAAAATCCCTTTCAGATGCTTGCTGATGGTCCAGGCCTTTCATCTCACACCCGGACACCTCCAGCCCCCATGACCAGATTTCAGGTGTGTCCCTCTTGGGCCTCCCTTGGGAACCACTCGCATTGAGTCAGTGGCCAGCACCCCCCACCCTGTGAGTGTGTGTGGGTCCTGCAGGGACAGGTATGTGTGGTCTTGCAGGTGTAGGGTGGGGGAGGGTCAGATGCCAGTGGGGGAGAGTGGCCCACTGGATGCAGGATGCCTCTGGGGTTGGGTGGGAAGGGGGCGGGTCCTGGAGGGCTGCATACAGGTGCTGTGGCCATAGGGGCTCCAGGGTAGTGAGGCATCTCCCCTTGGGGCCTCACCAGTCCTCCCATGCTGGAAAGGGCGGCTGGAGGGCCAGCCAGACTCTCGGCAGAAGGGAGGCCTCCCGTGGTGGCTCCCTCCAAAGGCCTGGCCAGCAAGTCCCAGTTGTGGGGCTCCTCCTCGTGTGCCCAGGTGGGGCCTGGGTGGGACTGACCTGCAGTGCCTTGATTGCATTCTCGTAGCAGGTCAGCTGCCCACACACGGTCTTTGAGTTCAGGGCCAGACGGTGCCACATGTGGGCCAAGTAGTCCTCACTTTCGTCCTTGAACTTCTGAATTTCCATAGTAAAATTCTGGCCAAGTTTGGCTTTCACGATGACCATGTGTTTGAAAATCAAGCTAAAGAAGGAAGAGGGAAGTTCATGGGGAAACTCCAAACATACACGGGCACCCAGAGCTCAGTCTGCCTGTGCTCCTGACCCAGGCAGGAGGCCAGAGGGAGCCGAGGCCTTTGGGAGGGCGTCCTGGGCAGCAGGGGCCCGGCACTCACAGGCGGTGGGCGGTGCGCGGCAGCACGTGCGCAGCCTCATCCAGCACCTTAAGGCCACCCTCCCAGTCATCCTGGTCAGCGTGGCTGTGGAAGAGCAGGCCGTAGAGGGCAGCACGCAGTGTGAGGTCATCCTCGGCCCCTGTGGCAGGGAAGAGCAGAGGCCTCAGGGGGGCCAGGTTACCTGGCTCCTTGCTAACCCTCGCCCACTGGCCTCTGACCTCCCGGGACCCTCCCACCGCTTCACACTCCCCCTGATTGGGAGCCTTACTACACAGGTGCTGGAAGGCCAGCACTTGCCCTGCAGCACAGATGTGAGGAGTGCTGCCTGCTACTGGCCCAGGTACCCTCCAGGCAATAGAACCAGGATTCTGTGTCCCTATCTGGTCTCTGCTGCTTTCTCCTGTGGGTCTGGGGGATCTTGCTCTAACAGAAGCGGCCTGGAGTGTGCGTGCATTAAAGGTCAGCATGTGGGACTCAGGTCACGCAGCACGTCTCGAGGATGTGGGTATCTTATGCGTCCCAAGTATGGACCAGGTTGGACCTGCACACAGCCTTGTCCACCCCTGAGGTCATGGCTGACTTGGTGCTTGTGCCCTGCATTTGTGACCCACCTGCAGTCCCCGCTCACTCACAGAAGTGGCTCAGTAAGACTGTGTGAGCTGGACCACTCTGGCTTAATGTGCTGCCCACCCTCTGCAGGCTCAGGGCCCAGCAGGCCCACCCTTCCGGCCTGGAAGCTCAGTGGCTGGGTGAGGAGCCTGTCACTTCCAGGGTCCTCCTTGATGTCCAGCCCCTCCTCCTCCAACTGGCTTAGTTGCAGTGGCTTCTGGAGCAGCCTGCACCCCCTGCTGGCCATTTCCTCTGCGAGCTGTCACCTGGGTGGCTTTGGGCCACACCAGGCCAGACCCAGGTCCACTCTGGCACTGGAGCTTCTCAGACGGTGAAGTCCTCCACGCCTGGTCCCTCTCCAGAGATGCCAGCACTTTTCTTGTCATTTAGAAACAATATCACAATAAGGGAAGCAGAAACTCCTTCCTTCCAGTGCCTGATCCAGCACCACTTGGGACAGGCTGCAAGGTGCTGAGAGTGGGCTGGGCCCTCCTGAGCCATGCCCAGGGCCGAGACTGCCGGTGGTCCCAGCCAAAGTGGGGAGCAAGGAGCTTCCTTCTCTTTCTGAGGCGGTTCTCTTATTTCTCCAGAGCAGGAGTGCTGGGGGCAAGAACCGAACATGCTCACGGCTGAGAGAGGGCCCTGTAGCAGTGCCCAGAGTGGTGTCCATGGTCTGCTGGCCCTCTCCTGACCCAAGTGTGGCTGCAGGAGGTGGTCCACTTCTGAACCTGGGAACCACTATTTGAATCTGTCACCTAAAGCATGGCAGCTGAACAAGTGGGGGTGCAGGGTGGAGATCTTGCCACCAACCTACCTGGAGGCTGCACTCCAGCAGCGTCTCAGCATGGAAGAGGGCTGAGTGGGCGGAGCTGGCCATGGGGTCTTGGGCCACACCATCCCTACTAGTGCAAGCATTTGTGCGCCACAGAACCTGACAGTTCTGCTGCCGAGTTGATGCAAAGTATATCCCACACTTTCCTTTTCAATTTTCTGCATCTGTGGGAAAGTGTGCCCCTGGCCAGAGGTTGCCTGTGATACCCAGTTCTGCTGAGACTTCCTTCTCCGTAGCCCTTTCATCTGCCGTTGGTTTCCGTGGGAGGAGGTCCCCCACAGGCCTGGCTGCTTCCTGCTCCAGGGCTCTCTGCATCTCCCTCATGCAGCACTCGAAGAGAGCCTTTCTGCCGGGCCTCAGTGCTCAGCTCACATCTAATTCTCCACAGACACATTTTTAAAATCTTTAAGTCAATTTTCTCTCTAAGTAGACTCCACAGTGCTCAAGGCTGGGGACCACCTTCCTTATCTAGGGTTGGAAGACCCACCCAGCACAGGCCAAGTCTCTTGACAGAGAGGGAGGACCATTTTTAGGAGATAACCAATTGCTCTGTAAACTGGACCTGGAATCGTAGAGTGCCGTTCTAACGATCTAAGGTCAGGTGTTTCTTTTCCTTCTTTGGGAGTCTATCTCCACACGATTTAATAGCAAGTGTGATTTATCTGTCAGAGTAACCTGGAGGCCAGTGCTGGCCCTGGACTTGCAGGGTGTGGCCCTGGAGAAGGCTGGAGCACAGCCCGGGGCCTCTGTAGGGTCACTGTGAAGGTGCCGAAAAGACACGCCTGCAGTCACAGAGACCAGGCAGCCTCCTGCACGGGGCATGGGCTCTGAAGGCACAGAACACCGGAACCGTCCAAATCCTTTCCTCCCCTCGCCCAGAGCATGGGAGTCCCGCACCCACCAACCTGGGAGAAAGTGGCCCTCAGCTGTCATCCTGCTGCTCTGGAAGTCCGCCGTGGGCCACTGATGCAGCAGCAGCGTGTTTCCTTTCTCCTGCAGGAGAGACAAACGGTGCACACTCTGGAGGACTGTGGTGTGTGCTTTGGGAGAGGCCCACTCTCTCCAGGCCTGTTCCACACAGTCCTGAGCTCCAGCCACAGCAATCAGGCAAGAGAAGCAGGTGAAAGAAACGCAAACAGGAAACAGAAGAGTTAAATTCTCTCTGTTTGCTGATGACATGCTCCTATATCTAGAAGACCCAAAAATATCCACCAGAAGATGGAAGTTGACAGAAGAATTCAGCCACATCACAGGACACAGATCAACACTCATGAATCCACAGCCTTCCATGCTCCAATGATGAATCTGCTAAAAAAGAAATTAGGAAAACTATTCCATTTACAAAAACCTCCAAAAAATGAGAATAAATCTAACCCCAAAATGGAAAATATCTATAATGAAAACATTAGAACATTGAAGAAAGAGATTGAGGAAGACTTAGAAGATAGAGACACCTCCCATGCTCTTGTATAGGCAGAGTTAACACTGCTAAAATGTTCACACTACCAAAAGTCACCTACAGATTGAATGCAATCTCCATCAAAATACCAATGATATTCTCCTCAGAACTAGAAAAAACAGTCCTAAAATTCACTTGGAAGAATAAGAGACACAGAATAGCCAAAGCAGTCCCAAACAAGAAGAGCGATGTCGGAGGCTTCACGGTACTCGATGTCATATTACTCTGCAGAGCTACTGTAGCCAGACACCAGACAGACTCAGAGACCAGTGCAGCTGAAGATACAGACTTTCAGTCATCTGATGCGCGACAGAGGGTCCAAAATAAGTGTTGGAGTAAAGATGGCCATTTTAACAAATGGTGGCTGGAAAGCTGGATATTAATATGTAGAAGAATGAAATTACATCCCTAGCTCTTACTCTGCACAAAAATCAACTCAAAATGGATCAGAGATGCAGGAATTAGACCAGAAGCTGTGCTACTGCTAGAAGTAAACAGACCAGTGATCCAACACGTTACCGTAGACAATGACTCCCTCAACGGGACCCTAAAGCCCAAGAAATAAAACCCAGAATCAATAAATGGGATGACATCAAATTAAAAGCTTCTGCACAGAAAAAGAAATGATTCAGAGCATGAGGAGAGAGCCGACAGAACAGGATGAAATCTTTGCCAGATACTTTTCTAATGGGGGATTAACATCCAGAATATGTAAAGAACCCCCAAAACTTTACATCAAAAAACTGAATAACCCAATCAATAAATGGGCAAAAGAACTAAACAGACACTTCTCAAAGGAAGAAATACAAACGGTCAACAAATACATGAAAAAAATGTTCAACATCTCTAGCAATCAGGGAACTTCAGATAAAAACTATATTGAGATTTCATCTCACTCCAGTCAGAATGGCAATCATCTAGAATACAAACGATAATCAATGCTGGCGAGTGTGATGCGTTCTGTTGTCATATATAACAAATTAAAATCAAGAACAATAAAAAAAAATGCTGAAAGAGGGTAACTCGTCAAGCCGGATTCTACATATAAAGAAAATGCCCTTAAGAATGAAGATAAAATAAAGGTATTTTCAGATGAAAGACTGAAAGTATTAATCACCAGCAATAAATGCTAAAGGAAGTTCCTCAGCCTGAAGGCAAATTATACTAGGTGATTGTGGTATCACCAAAAAACAATGACTAATGCAAAAAATGGTCAATGCAAAAAAGAATAATTTTGATATTTTCCTCTTAATTTTTGACATGAATCATATAACTCTAAAAATTAGAGCAGTGTCTGTGTGACATAATAAATTGCAAATGCAATATTTAAAAAATGCTGGTGAGGATGAGGGGGGAAAAGGATACACTTGTACATATTTGGGAAGACTGCAAATCAGGGCGACCACTCTGGCAAGCAGGATGGAAACTCCTCAAAAGGCTAGGAATGAAACCACCAGTGACCCGGCTGTCCCACTGCTCGGTACGGATCTGGAAAGAGCTACATCAGCACACGGCAGTGATTCAGCTACTTCAGTGTCCATCGCAGTGCACAATAGCCAAGCCATGGAACCGCCCCGGTGCTTGTCAGCAGATGGATGGACCCAGAGAAGGTGGTTTACATGCACAATGGAGTTGTACTCAGCCATCAAGAAGAGAGAAATCATGGCATTTACGGATAGATGGGTAGAACAGGAGCCCGCCATGCTAGGTGGAAAAGCCAGACTCATGAAGGCAAGGGCCCAAAATTCTCTGTTGTATGTGGAGCTAGATAGAGCAAGATGCAGGGTGGGCGGGAGGGAAGGTGTGTGGTGATGGGTCCCGTGGAAGTAGGAGTGCAGGAGAGGAGGGGACTGAGGGAGAGGGAGGAGCTTTGGGACCTGGGGGTGCTGAGCACCCCACCACAGGGAGCCAGCTGTAAGTAGACCACAGGAAGGCCAGAGAGGAGGGGAGGGGCTGGGAAAGGGCAGCAGGAAATGCGACTGGTAACAAACCACAGGAACCACAGCCAGACTGCACACGTCACCCTCACCAAGGGCGCCAGCAAGACGAGATACACCCCAGAGCACACACGCCATGCACTCACTCCACTCCACCCATACCACACACCATCCACTCCACACACGCCACAAACCATGCCGCACACCCACGCCACACAGAGCACACACCCCACACCATACAGGACAAGCCCCACACCGTCACCTGCCAGGCACTACACACCATGTCTCCATGCTCCATGCCACAAATATAATCACACGCGTACCACACACACCATGCAGACCAGTCCCCTGGCAGCCTGCATCTTGCAGTGATGTGAAATCTCTAGTGAGTCTTGGCGCTGACCCAGTGTGACGGAAGCACACTGGGAAGAGTGTCTGGACGCAGAGGAACGGCGTGCAGAGGCAGGTCACTGCTCAACAGAGGAGAAGAGCAAAGGCACCATCTGGCTCAGCCCTTCAGACCAGCAGGACAGGCGGAAGCAAAGACCAGGGAGAGGAAGTGCAGAGCCTCGGGGAAGGCCCTGGCGGGGTGGCTCTCAGGCTTGGGGACCGCTGTGTGGCTGATGTCCACGAAGGGCTGAGACAATCTGTGCCTAGCCACCCAAAGGTAACAAGGGCGACCCCACAGAGCTGCTTAAGAGGAAAGCACCGTGTGGGGGAGGCCCGAGGGGCTCCGAGCTCAGCGCCCGCCTGCGGGGACCTTGAGCTTGTGGTAGTGGCTTGGGCAGGCACCCCACCCTGGGGACCTCAGGCTAGCCCACACCCCTGCCCACCTGCTTCCTGGCCTCCGTCTGGTTGATGATGCCGATGAGCTTCTGGACGGCCCCCTTGGCCTTCTTCCTGTTGACAGCTGAGGATAGGAGTGGCAGCCAGGCGTTCCAGCAGTGACGAGCGGCCAGCATCACCAGGGCACTGCTGCCTGCGAGGCCCCCAAACCTGAAAGCACATTCCACACCCAGAAGGAGCAGGCGCAGGCGGCAGGTTGCTGACCACACCTCCCCGAGGGGGGCACTGCTTCCGCGGGGGGTGGGGGGGGCGTGGGGTTCCCTGTGCCACTCTGCAGGTGCTTGTGCCCCCCTCAGCGAGGCCTAAAGCCCACCCAGCCAGTTCTCCCTGCACAGCAGGGCAGCAGTGGTCTCCTGGCCACCTCTCCTCAAGCGCCCAGGCCTGGCCTGGCCTTGCTCAGGCCACTCAGGGGCCTCTGGTCAGCGCTCCTATGGATGGTCCCAGGATCACTCAGGGCAGCCAGTGGCCTCTGGTATCCCTGGGCCCCTTGTTGGGGGGCCCAGTCCTCCCTGCACCACCTGGCGGCTCCTGGGGCTTCAGTGGCCCAGCAGGCACCCCGTGCCCGGGCTGCGCGGTGCTGTCTGCACACCTGGCACTCTCCACAAAGGCCTTGGCGGCCACCAGCCGCAGCTGCTTCCTCCCCTTCAGGTTTTCCATGATGCTTTGGCCCTGGATGCAGGTAGCTGTGCACAGCATCTCCGCCACCAGCTGGGTCTCCACCCTGGGGCAAGAGTGCTTGAGGAGGGAGGCCATCTGTCGCAGGCCTGCGTCCCTCCCTGGGAGTCTGTGGCCTCACCTGTGGCCCTTGAGATGGGGGCACCTCCCTCCCTCCTGTGTGCAGCTCCCACCCCCTCAGAATTGGAGCAGCCACGGGGATGTGCCCCACTGGCTGGGGGCCAGGGCCTCTGGCCTCCGGGGCCCTGCCATTGGCTGGAGCACACATGTGGCTGGGGTCTTGGACACTTGCCCTGGTTGTTCACTCAGAACCCACAGGGGGAAAGGCCACGGGGAGAGCTGGGCAGCCATGCTGGGGTAGAGAGCATCACCAGGACACCTGGCTGTGGAGGGAGCTGTGGGCCTGATAGTTAGCTTTCGTCAATGGGCTCTCCATGACTGGGCCTTGTTAATTCTTGAGAGTGACCTTATGAGAGACCCCAAACCAGGATTAACTGTCTGAGCCTAGTTATCCACAGAACTGAGAGCATTAACTCATTTGGGGGCCAACTGTGGGCAGCAGTGGGCCAGCAGGTCCAGCCGGGCTGTGTGTGCTGGGCCAAAATGAGGTGGTGCTCTCTGCACCCAGCTCAGCTGGGACATCCTCCTGCAGAGCCACTCAGAGCCCTCTGAGCATTTCCTGTGGCCTGGGCACCTGCCAATCACACACACTAAAGCGTGGCCCCCACCACTGCAGGGAGCACACCCTTGCCATTCAGTTCAGAGTTCACCCTGTGAGAAACAGGCTGGTCCTGGAGAGATTCTTTCAGGGACCAGAGTCCTGGAGGCCAGCCACACCTGGCCCTTCCTAAAGCAGACAGAGGAGGAAGGCGCTGGCTTTGGCCTGCAAGGATCTGCCCTGCAGTAGGAATCTGGTCTGGAAGGGAAACTGAGGCTGAGTGATGAGGGCAAGGGAGCTGAACACACTTGAGGTGAGCACGGCTCGGGTCCATGCTGTGCGCTGGCATCCTGGAAATCAGGGTGGTCTTTCTGAGGCAGTTGCTGGATAGGGTGTCCTAGGAGTGTCCTCAAGGTGAGATCTGTCCTTGGGCATATTTGAACCTGTGTCCTTACTGATTTTCCTACTCTGTTCTCCTGGGGGCTGTTAGACTCTCCGCTACTGCTGTGTAGCGTGCACGGCTGTGCTTCACCACTGAGGAACACCTCCCTCCTATGCACCTGGGCTGGACCGCGTCTGCGTGATGCAACCCAGTGGCTGATGGAGCCTGTCCTGGGGGAGCACTGGGAGAGCTGCGTCTGCCTGGGGTCATTGCTGGTCCCTAAAGGGGCACTGGCTCCTGCAGGGTTAAGGGGCCAAGGCTGCCCTCTGCCCCCTGCTCTCCTGTGCTCCTGCTCCTCTCCACTCTCCTGAGTCTTTCCAACCTCTCCCGGCACATGTTCAGGAGACCTCTTGGTTGCCATAGGGACACCAACACTATCCTCAACTCAGACGGGGTTGCTGCATGGGCGACCTGACAGCTCTGAGGACAAGCTGTGGCTCCTCTTCCCGTCCTGTGGCACTGCTGCCAACACGGTTCCCTTCTGTGTTTCCATGGATCCCACCAGGCAGTGTGAGTTCTGCTCCAGTCAGGTGTCCTTTGCAGAATTCAAGAACTGGGGAGGTGGGAGGCCTTTTGTGTACCACCTGGGTGTTCAGTACTTCCCAAGCCTTGTTCCCATTTAGAACCACGTTCCTTTGGCTTGAAGCCCCCCCCCCCCCCCCCCCCCGCAGCTGCTGGAGCACACCTCCCAGACCCCCCACAGTGGGCAAGTCCTGTGGTGAGCAACGGCACCAGTCTCCACGGGGGGCGACAGTGGTCCACTAATGATCTGCCCAAGACCCAGTGTAGACGGCAGCTTAGTCTCTGACCTCTCCTCTTCTCATGCCATTCGTATGTAGGTCATGGCGCCTGCGCACACGCCAGCCTCACCCTGAGGTGGGGGTTCTCAGAACCCAACTCCCAGGTCAAATGCCGGCTCTGCCTCAATGCCAGTGGGTGGCCCAACAGAGAGAATGAACCTCTGCCTGCCCCAGTCTCCTCGTCTGCAGTGTGAAACAGGACCCCTGCCCACTAAGAGCAGCTCTCCATGGGATGCCGGTCACAAGGCTGCTTGTCACCTTGTTCTGTCCACGTCTATGCACCTGGGAGTGTGGGAGGCCCTGGACCAGAGGCAAGGGGTCAGTGAAGCTCCTCACTGGGTGTGTGGATGTGGCCCCCAAGATGCCCTTTGAGCAGGACCACACGTTGCCCAAGCTCACCCTTGTGAGAATTTGGTCAAGCTCTCAACTCTTGCCCACATGGGCTGACCCGACCAGGCCACGAGAGCCAGGAGGACCTGAAAGATGAGACTGGCAGACGGGGCCCAGGCCAGGGACACAAGCCCTTGGAGGTTCTCCTGAATCCAGCCACAGAGGGCCCCTCCCAGCCGCAGGGTTGTAGCTCGGGAAGGCCCTGAGGGCAGGACTCTGCAGCAGCCCACGAACCCCTCATATTCAGAAAGGGGACAGTCAGGCCCCAGTGATTGCCATTCCAAATGAGAATACAGAAGCAATGGAGGGGAAGGGAGGTGCCCAGGGTATGTGGGGGCAGGTCCTGTGGGAGACAAGGCGGGAGCGGGCAGGCGGAAGGTCAGTGTCACTGATTCTACCCATGCTCCTTCCATCATGACCTGACTGGTTCAGGCATATCCTAGTGTCTTCAGAGTGACCTTCACAAGGCTGTCTCTGCTGGCCATGGAAGACAGTTGATCCAAACCCCCTTGGTGGCCCAAACTCACATGACCCCAGGGGACGTGCCAGGAGGCGGGTCTGTGGGTGGCCTGGAGGACATGGGGTGGAGCTGCAGATGGGATCCAAGGGCTGCCTGGCCTTGTGCCTGTGAGCACGCAGGGAGGAGGTGCTGTCTGCAAGCTGTGTCCTGAGCTGTCTTCCAGCCTTGGAGCAGAACAGGAGCAGGGGCCTCCCTCCTTGGTAGTCCTTGGTCCCAGCAGTCTGGACTGACACCCCCTGCTCTATGCCCACCATGCCCACAGGCAGCGGGTCTCACCCGGCCTCAGGGTCCCTCTTGACACTGAGCTTTGTGGGGAGCTCTGTGGGGAGCTCCGTGGGGAGCTCCGTGGGACGGGGAGACAGGAGGTGGAGGCCATCTATGCACGAGGGCAGGCCTGGGTGGAAACTCACAGGATGACCTGGGGCCCCGCCAAGCCCACGGCAGCCATCTTAACTCAACATGCTCATGTGCCCACACCCTGGTCCATATCCTGATACCTGCTCATGCACCTGGCTTCTCTGGGGGCCTTGCTCCTGCCTATGTCACCGATAGAATGTCATTACGGAGGTTACTTACGGACCGAACACCCTCAGGTACTTGATGCCCAACTGTGTGGCCATCTGACAGCAGGTCATGGTGATCTCATGATCATGGGCCGCATAGGCAAAGTGGGTCAGCCTGGTCAGCGTCTGCAGCTCCACCAAGGGCTCTGACCAGCTGCACTCGGAGGCCATTTTCACCACCTTCCCAGGAGGGAGGACCAGAGAGAGGGGTGTCACGTGGGTGACCATGACTCCCACAGGCTGTGGCTCACAGCAGTGAGTCTGCTGCCAGCCTGGAAAGCCAGGGGATTCTGAGGTCTGGACACGGCCAAGCGTTTGCTAAGCTTAGGTCATTCGGCGTAGCCATTCCAGACACCTCTGTGATCGGCAAACACCACTGCACTGTGGACACCACACTGGCCACGCTGCTGTCCCCGACACGTGGTAGCTGCTGTCCCAGTACAGTGTGCAGGTCCCCACAGATGCCTCTGCCGTGTGCAGAGAGCTTGGCCAGGGTGGAGGCCCAGAGGCACACCAAGACAAAGGACCACTCCAGACAGCAGCTGGGGCTGTGGGCTTGGAGGGGTCCACAGCGTTCTGTGGGAGAGTGCCGTGGTAAGAAAGTGGGTGGGCTTGAGTTCTGCAGCCCCAGGCAAGAACCTCTGAGGCTGGCTTCCTAGTCCCTCTCTGCACTGAGCTGTCAGGCTCTAGGACACCACGACACCCACCTGGGCCAGGGGGGGCACGGCGAAGTCCATGAGGCCCAGCCCGTTGCAGGAGTACATCTCCAGAGCTACGAGGACTCTAGTCACAGAGCTGATGTCCTCGTTGGTGCTCTGTGGAAAGCAAGGGGCTCTGAGTGTCCGTAAGCCTGAGGCACTGGGGAGGGCGGGCAGGGAGGACCTGGAGTGTTCCTGAATTTCAAGGCGAGTTTCATGGCAACAGTCATCCTGGGAAATACATAGTCATTTTGCCTGAGGCTACATTGTATCCATCTGCCTCCAGGTTGCTTCCCAAGTAATGAGCAGGCTGAGGCTGTGCAGGCCAGAGCAGGCCAGGCAGTGCTGTCTCCTGCTCGGGGAAGGGGCTAAGGTGGAGGCTGAAGGGCCTGGGGCAGCAGCTGCCCAGGCGGGGGCTCCTCCTGCCTCTGGCTGTACAGCGCCCCCCAGGCTCCCATCTGGACGCTTCACTCAAATATCCCTCCTGCCTCCTCTCCTGGCTCCTTCCCTGCTGTCCCCAGTGATGGGGCCCCATAGGCTCTGTCTGTGGAAGCAGGGTTGTTCTGGCTCGTCCCTTTCCAGTTCTCCCCCACACCCTGTGTTCCCAGCTTGGGGGCCTTGGCACCGGCCAAGGAGGTAACCATCTGCTGATGAGTGGCGCTGAGTGTGGGCAATGTCTCCTGAGGTCCAGGCTCAGGCCTTGCAGCAGGCTGGGCTCCTGGCCCTTGAGCGCAGCTGGGGCGGTGGTCTCAGTGGGAAGATGGCCTCCAAACCTTGCGAAGGGCAGTACTCCCCACTCTGGTCAGGCCTGGGGCCCAAAGGAGGATCGAGGGCCACTCTCTGGAGAAGGTGGCCTGCAGGTGCCCCATGGGCCCTGCTTGCACACACCTGGCCCGCAGTGACCACTGGGCTCACCTGCTCGTCGATGCCCAGCCGGGGCCCGATCTGCTGCTGTGCCATCTGCTTGGCCTTCACCCAAGTGGCAATGAGCTGCTGCCACACACGGGTGGGCACCACCTCCTCGGGCACGCTCCCGCTGGTCTGGCTCAGCGCAAACTCGCAGACCTGCAGCGCACAGGGCCTCCTTCCCAGATCTGCCTCAGGCAGAGGCGCGGTGTCCCCACTGAGTGCCCAACAACACAGAGGCACAGCTGCTGCCCAGATGGCTCATGCTTCCTTGCTGACCACCACCAGTGCTCTGGCTGCCACCCAGGGAGCAGGTCAGACCCACATTCACGCCCTCAGCAAGTGAGGCCAGGCATTCCCCCGCTGCTGTGGCAGGTACTGGATCTGGACGTGGACAGCCAGGGCCGGGACCCTGCACATGTGCCCTGAATCCACTGTGGATTTTCTCATGGTGACAGGACAGGGCCTGTGGGCTGGCCTGGACCCCCAGCTCCGGCCCTTGCCTGCCGAGTGCCTGTTTCCTCACCTTCACAGAGGCTGAAGCCTGTGCGAGGGTCACGGCTCAGAGCCCCGGCAGAGCAGTGAGCACGGCCACCAGAGGTGGCCACTCACCAGCCAGGGCTGGCCTCTGAGCCCTGGCATGGGTTCTGGTCCTCCAGACTGCAGAGGCACGCAGCTTCCACATCTTCCCTAAGTCCCCTCCATCATGTCCCCCATGCCCCCTGTCCCCTCTATGCCCCCTCACCCCCACGCTCTGGTTTTCGTGTGGCTGCACTATCTGCCAGATGCCTGGGTGGGCATGGGCAGAGGCTCTATGACTGTCCTCCCCATCTTCTCCCCCATGTGTGTCCAGGCTGCTGTCCACGTCCCCTCCCTTCTCTCCCCCTTGCCTTTGGGCCTGGGGAAGCTGTACCTCCACTGCTGTTCGGATCTCAGTGGCAGCCGCCGAGTCCAGGGGGATGTGAAACGTGTTTGGTTTCGGGAGCTTTTTTGCCTTCTCCGGCGTCTGGGTGGGGATCCAACTGATGATCAGGCCTCGAGCCAGGGCACTGCAGAGCATCACCAGCAGGACCGCGTCCCTAGAAGACAGGGTAGAGGCCCAGGCCCTCGAGCCCCTGCAGAGACACTGGGATCTGTGGTGACCACTTGTGTTTACGGACGGACCCATCTGCCAAGATGTAGCAGAAGGGAGCCGCCCACTGTCCTCAGGGAAGCTCAGGGTCGGTGGCTAGGATTGGGGAAAGAGCCGGGAGTCCCTGCTGCTGATGGGGAGGCAGGACCCAGGGCCCCTCCTGCAGAGCGGGACACCCTGGCCACAGGATGGGCTCCCGAGTGCCCAGGGTGGGCTGGCAGGGCAGGAAGGCCACTGTACCCATGCTCGTGTGCCAGGGTGTCCCGGAGGCCCTGGGAGATATCCAAGTCTGATTCCCAGGTGTAACGGGCCAGCTGAAGACATTAGACACAGGGCTTGTGGGACACCGTGGTCTGCACACACCAGGAGTGAGAAATCAGCCTGGCAGACGCTCGTGGGCAGGGGCACGGCAGGGAGCTCAGCCTCAGGCTGCCCGTCTCTCCTGAGCCATCTGCTGGACCCCAGGCTGCAGCCTGCGCAGGTGGTGGACTCGTGCCCTGGGAAAGGTGAGTGCAGCACGTGGCACTATGTCACGAGCCGTTCTGCATTGCTCATCACTTAAAGCCATCATGGACACGTGGCGGCATCCTCGCCCATTCTAGCTCCTACTAGAATCTGGTGTAAAATAATTACAGTCCTGTTGTTCAGACCAAAAAGCAAACCAAAAAAAAAAATATACATTAAAATTGATCTTTCTGATTTAACTGGGAAACCAGTCTCTCAAGTTGACACACACCTGGATGTGGGAAACCCAGACACAACCGAAACCCAGGAGGAGGTGCATAGGCAGCACTCTCCCCCGTCTTCAGAGCATCGGCCTGGCCCCTGCTGACCTCTGTAGGACCCAGAGCAGACATGCCTGACCCCACAGCTGCAAGGGTCTTGGGGCTCCTTGCTCTGCCAGTCTGCACCCACCACGCCACACCCACCCTTGGTGGTCAGAGGCCTTGATGATGCTCAGGAGCTTATGCAGGGGGTCCACCAGCTCCCTCTGCCGCCCGGCCACGATGAGATGGTGGTTGTGGTTCAGCATGTAGACGGCGGCATTTTGCACCACCCAGGCCTCCCCGATCTCCAGCCCGATCTCCGCCGAGCGCAGCCAGTTGTTCATGGTGTACTCCGACAGGCTTTCTATCCAAGTTCTGCAAATGCACACCCACCAGCATTGGCCACATGCAGGTCTTTCCAGAGGAAGCTGCTGCAAGCTCTCCTGGTCTGGAGGGGTGCTCCAACTGTGGGTGCTGCCTCCCTGAACCCCACAGCCCTCTGCACCTGCCCCTCAGCTTGAGGAGTGGGACTCTTGGCCCCTCCCTCCTGGGTGCCGCCCTCCTGCTCTTCCCATGTGTGAGCTCTCCTCGGCCACTGGATCCTGTCACTCACCTGCTTGGAGGAGGAGCAGCGGGCCGAAGCCTTGCCCACCCCGGCAGCCGCCCTTGCCCCCGGCCTCCCCACCCTTCTGCAGTTTGCCTGCCCGGTCACACACAGAGCTGCTCCCTCTCTGTCCTCTGCCCCTATTGCTGACCCTGGGGGCTCACGCTGACCAACAGTGGGAAAAGTGAGAAGAGCTCACTGGAGCGGGAGAGTGGGATCTAGGTAAAGGCACCCCTGCTCACGCTCCTCCTGCCAGGCTGCACTGCCAACTGCACACACCTTCTGTGATCCTGGTCCGTGTCGAACACTCTGATCTCTTGTGTGACAACGGGACTGCTTTGTCAGTTGGGAGGATGTTCCCACTGCAGTCCCAAGGATACAGAGGGCCCTTCCACCCTTAGCTGGCACATGGGCAGGAGTCACCACCCACCTGTATGTGATCCACTCTGGGTTCGTTTCTGGGGGCTCAGGCACGTAGCCAGCTGGGTGCTGGCTCAAGTCCTCAGGGGGGACAGCCTGGTCATTCAGCTCTACACCTTCTGTGTGCAGCAAGTGGATGGTGGCCTGTAAGAGAGTGTGTGGCTGGAGGGGTCATGGGCAGGCAGGGCCCAGCCCCAGGGAACAAACAGCCAGGCATTTCTCCTTAAAGCTAGGGTTCTGAAACACAAAACACTGGAGTAGACTCCTGGGTAGAACCGCCCCCCACACACCTGTCACCTCACTGCAAAGACACACCTTGGGGAGAGAAGAGCTAGTGTCAGCACAGCCCCACCCACCACCTCCTCTACAGATTAGACGCTTCTTCCTGCTGCCAAATGCCCAGCCATCTCTGAATCTCTTGATTGCTTTGTGAATCTGCTTTCCAGAAAAGGGCTGCTAAGCCCACAGGGGTGGGAGGGAACTTCAGGAGAAGTGGGGCTGGCGCTGTCTGGATAAACCCCACATTCACGGACACCTGTGTCCACCATCTGGGGATCAGCTTCCTGAGCACAGGGCTTGGCTTCAATCCATGCCATGGACCCAGAGCCTCAGCCAACAGGTCAGCAAGGACTTCCTGCCACTGAGGGACCCCAGAGGAAATAACATGCACAGGCTTGGAGAATTCTGAAGTCACCTCCAACCCAGGCACAGGCACAGGCTGGGAGCTCATGCTGGCCTTAGAGTGGGCCTGGATCCAGCTGGCTGCATTCTACCTGGCTGACCGAGCCGGGCAGGCAATGTGTCTCAGTGCCCACACATGCAGGGGGTCAGGGCAAGGCCCTGGGTGGGGCCCAAGGGAGCGCCCAACAGAGATGACAGCTCCTCCAAAGGCTTCCAAAGTCCTCTCCAAATATAAGTCCCCCAGTGGAAAGACAATGACCTGTTGTGCCTATGTGCCTTCGGACTCACCATCTAGAAGTCATTTCTAACAAAAGGTTACAGCAATACACAGCATGACAGGTTTTGATTTGCACCTTCCTCCTGGAAGAGCTTCCAAGGACTTGGGAAATTTTCCTTCCCTGACCCACTGTTTTGGGAGCCCAGGTGGGGCCTCTGATAAAGATCTCCAGCGTGTTAACAAGATACAGTGATGCTGTCGCCCACGGTCACGGTGGCCCCACAGAGAAGCAGGAGCCTTGGGACGCACCTCAGCGCTGATGAACCCCACCTCTGCGAACTTCCGCAGAAGGCTGTGGGACCACTGCTTCGGCAGCACCCCTTCCGACTGGCCCCAGTTCTCCCGCACAGAGCCTTCTGTGGTTCGCTTCTTCCTTCCTGGGGAGGTGGAGCAGGAAGAGGGTGAAGAAAAACTCGGGAACTCTGTGGCCCTGTTCTGGGGCTCTCCTCAGCTTCCTGCAGGGGGCGTGCGCTGTCAAAGCTGGGGATGGTGTCACACTCCTGTCCAGTGACAGGGCTGTGATGACAGTCAGTGGCAAGCTTGTTGCCGTCACAACCCTGAGGACCCCGAGTCCCTCTGTAAACAGTGTGCTCTTGATATACCCTGCAACTTCCTCTGTGTGCTTTAAGTCATCTAGGGACAACTTAGGCACCTCACACAGGGTGGGTGAGACGTAAGTGGCTGTCACACTGTATGGTACAGAGAATAGTGACAAGAAACACGTCTGACATGTTCAGAACAGATCAAGCTTTGTTCAAGGGTTTTCAGACCTTGACTGGCTGAGTCTGGGTTCACAGGGCCCAGGGACATGGGGGGCAGGCTGCACACACATTCAGAAACCCCACTTTCCATTTGAAGGCTCCTCTGGACCTGTGTACCGACTAGACTCGTTACTGTGGGGCCAGTCTGGCCTCTACAGGAGGAAGCCCCCTCCCCCGTGGCCCTCAGAGGGAGGAGCCTGGCCTTCTGAGGCACCTTTGTTCAGGGTTGCCCTGGGCGAATACCTCTCTTCTGCCTTGGGGACTTCTTGGCCTTGAAGCTGTCATACAGCAGGCAGAAGCGGCTGGCTGTCCGGCACACATCCCACACCTCTTGCTTCCGAGCAACCTTGGCCAGCTCTGCCCAAATCTGGATTCTGCTCTCCAAAACACAAACAGGGGAGGAGCAGGCTCAGGCATAGCTGGTGAAGGTCGCAGACACACAGGTGACTGCCCTAGAGGAAAAGCCACGCTCCAGGCCTTTGGGTCTGTGCTCCAGCTGGACAGCTCTCGGGGCAGGTAGACAGTGGTCAGGGCCAGGAGTCAGGGGCAGCTCCCAAATTCCCCTCCCAGGGGTAGGGCAGGCCCTCTTGGGTTGATGCCATGGTCTGGCCATCATGCAACACTGATGGCTGCAGCATGTGTCCCCTAAGGAAGAGGGAAGTCTCTCGCTGGCCACGCACATGTGGGCTGTGGCCTGTTTCTCTCAAGAACAAGCAGGCCAGGCCTCATCCACACCCCTCCTGGAGTTCACAGAGCGGGAGGCTTTCCCAGGTGCACATCCTCCCAGGAGCACCTCCTGCCAGAGGCACACCCTCCCAGTGCACTCCCTCCCAGGAGCACATCCTCCCAGGTCCATCTCCTCCCAGGAGCACCTCTTCCCACGTGCACATCCTCCCAGGAGCACCCCCTCCCAGGTGCACGCCCTCCCAGGAGCACATCCTCCCAGGTCCATCTCCTCCCAGGTCCACAT